CCCGAATCGCATGGTATATTGAGGGCAACTAATGTCATGACTAATACTACATTTTGACCCTTGTGACCGTAACCGTAACTTGTGATCTTTTATAAAATAAATCCCTTCGTGTGTTTCTCTTCGGTATTAAACTACAGGGGTTGATACCACATGGCTATAAGCTTTATTATATTTCATTGATTGCATTAAGGATACGGTTTCATTGAATGCATTACAAAGTAGAAAGTAAGCTTATAAGTCCCGAGTCACAAGTGTATACAGGTTTGGAAAGGCTGTACAAACATTGTAATACATGTTCTATGCTATAGGCTGTGACCCACTCAGGTCTATAGAGGTTCTCTAACGAGTGATGATTGGCTATCATGTTTATCTAACTCGAACTCGAGTTAGTTAATCGTATATTTTCAATTTTAACGAGAGTTAGATAAACGTGATACCTAATCATCACGAGTTTTTGGGGAATATCTTTCTCCCATAACGTTCGTATTTTATATACATATATAAAAAAACACCAGATTTCCCTTGGAAAATACACAATTTGTGTTTCCGATGGGGAAACCATTGCCATGGAGCATGACGTCACAATGGAAAATGACGTCGAAAAGCACTGTTACGTAACGTTATAAATCCCAGTAGTGTTTAATATTATTTTCAATAGTGGGAAATTCCCATCAAAATGGCTGACCGGTACTATTGTTCCTATTTTCAAAAATAAAGGTTCACCTATGGTAAATTATAGACCAATTACGATTGTTAGTTGTTTAGGGAAGTTGTTCACTAGTATATTAAATGAAAGACTACAGAAATACTCAGAGGAGGTCAGCTTGACATGTGAAAATCAGACGGGGTTGCGTAAAAATTATTCAACTATTGATAACATTTTTGTACTTTACTCTTTGATAAATTTGACTCAGATGAAGAAAAGTAAATTATATTGTGTATTTTTTGACTTTGAAAAAGCCTCTGCTAAAGTATGGCGCAATGGCTTGTGGAACAAGAAGTTAATGAGCGGAATTAATGGGAAAATGTTAACAATTATTTTTAACATGTATCAAGGCATTAAGTCAAATATATCTTTTAATGGTGAATGTTCTGGTTATTTTCCATGTGAAAATGGTTTGAGACAAGGAGAAAATCTATCTCCCTTTTATTCAGTCTGTACTTGAACGATCTAGAAGAGTTTATGGTCCAAAATAACGTTCCGGGTTTGACAAACCTTAGTACTAAATTAGAAAATAATCTATATGTATACATAAAGCTTTTTATTTTACTATATGCTGATGTACACTACTTTTTCGGACTGCCCAGTTGACTTGCATATACAACTAAATGTATTCAGTGAATACTGTAAACAGTGGAAATGAAAGGTTAATATAGGAAAAACCAAATGTATACTGTTTAGTAAAGGACGTAAAAACAATAGAAATGTATTTTTATTTAATAATGAGGTGATAGAGTTAGTGGACAATTTTACCTATTTGGGTACGGCATTTATTCGAACTGGTTCATTCAATGAAACGAAAAAATATAATATTAAAAAGGCAACTATAGCAATGTACGACGTTATAAAGAAAGGTAGATTACATAATTTATCAGTTCATTGTATATATGATTTATTTGACAAGATTGTAAAACCCATACTGTTGTATGGTTGTGAAGTTTGGGGTCTTTCTGACCTTAAGGTAATTGAACGTGTACATTTAAAGTTCTGTAAATTATTACTAGGGTTAAAAAGTTGTACCCCTAATTATATGGTATATGGAGAACTAGGTACTAGTCAACTTGAAATAACAATAAAAACAAAAATAATATCATATTGGTCACAATTGACTCATTCTAAAGGAAATAAAATTAATATTATATTGTATAAATTGCTTTGCCATCAACATAATGTTGATGATAAACCGGTTCCATATATAAGTTTTATTAAACGTATTTTACATGAATGTGGTATGAGTTACTGTACCTATAGAATGTCCAATATACTTCAGAATGTAATATCACATGGCTAAAGCATGTTATTAAACAAAGATTGTACGACCAGTATTTACAGAAATGGCAGAGTGATGTACATACTTCATCAAAAGCTACATGTTATAGGATTTTTAAAAATAATTGACATTTTGAAAATTACTTAGATATTTTAAGTGATACAGATAGAGTTATATTTTGTAAATTTAAGAATACTAATCACAAATTCATTGTTGAAACCGGCAGATGGCATAATATAGAGTATAATGAAAGAAAATGTCCACACTGTAACAGTCAGCAAATTGGTGACGAATTCCATTACTTGCTTGAGTGTCCGTCACTATCTGGGTTTCGAATTTTATATATAGACAAATATTTTTGGACGAGACCAAATGTAATTAAGTTAATTACTACTAATATAAAAACACTAAAGAAACTTTGTACTTTTATTAGAATAATTAATAACAATATTTGACCTCCTCGATATAAATGTGTATATATTATGAAACAGTACTGTGTACTACCGACTACGAACACTACAATTACTATATATTATATTGTAAATATGTTTCTCTATACATTGTATTGTGAAAGAGAATAAAGTTGAATTGAATTGAATTGTAATTGAAATTGGTAACCAAACTATTTTAACACCTCCTAACAGGTTTAACCAATTAGCCATGAGTGAGGATACATAGCCAGGCTAGTTAACCAGATAGTTACACATTTCTATGAAAACGTATTTGTAAACCAGTTAATTAAAAGATATAGTCATTCAAATCCTAAAAATATCTCATCACTCGGACAAAGTCAGAAAACTAGTCAGGTGAAAATATAGTCGATCGTGTTGATGGATAGCAAACAAATCTGTTAAATCAAACTGTCAACCAAACCAGGGAATTTAATCAGTAGGTTTTAACATGATGTCAATCCTGACCAGATATGACTACGAGTTGATCTGAACCAGGCGAGAAAATATGTATGAAAGTAAAAGTCTTGACTAAGTGTGTATAGGAGTACATCAAAACATATCTTCAATCTTAATCACGTCTGTTAACACATAAAATAATTACTGTCGCCAAATAATCCTGACTAGGTAAGTAAACTAAAATGTTAAGACAGTTCGTCTTTTTCAACCAGGAGCATAAAGCTTAACAAACCGTTGGACGCCAACTAACTATATCTTTTATCGTTTGCTGATAAATCCATGTGTAGTTCCCCTTTGTCTCTGAGAAAGCGGCTCTAATTCGGCATCGACTATGAACAAGCTGAAAAGGTAACGCGTATTAGATTTTTTTTTTTTAATTTTCGATAGTGTGTTTACAAATTTGAAAAAAGCTCTACACGTCGAAGAAAACAGCCTTTACATTATTTTGTAAAGAATGAGTGTCTATAAGGTCCTTTTTTGGGCCCCGCTGTATCCTGATTTTCACCTCCTTAATTTGTTCAAAAACTAAGGTAAAAGTGTGACCGAAAGTTGGTCTTTGGGGTACCAAAAGGAATGAGCTAAAACACCAAAATGATACCATTTCTGTTTTTGGAAACATATGTAACTTATACAGGCATTTATAAAAGAATGAAAAATTACAGAATTTCAATAGTCACTTAAAGATTGTTTATTTAAAACGAAGGATTTAGGGGATTGTGGTAATTAACAAATGAAAAGTGTTTTGTTTTCTCAATAATTTCCTTTCTAATTTATATTTTGAGTTGAAATTTAAAGTTACAACTTTACTCATTTGAGTCCACTTACATAAAATGCATATTCATTACACAATTTCCTTTTGTTTTATACTGAGCTATGGCTTCTGGACATATCTCAAACTTGGCAGTTTCAAATATCACTCCATCTTAAGTAAATTAAAAGGTACGGGGCGTCCTTCATACGAACAAGATATTACTAGTTAATATTGTACATTATATTTGTCATATAATATTTGCTCAACACCTGTTGGCAGTTAATTTTTTTTATTGGATTACTATCATTGGTGTTACGCTGTACTGAATCCAGACATTATATTTATTCTAGCTCTTGTGTCTGGAACGAATCTGACAACAGAGGAGGTATTGAGAGTGCTGATACACCCAGTTTTCATAATCTCCATCTGGTAGGTGCCGCACGTTATAGTCTTCTAATATTCCAAAGTAAACGAAGATGCATCCATCTTTACGAATTCTGACTTTGAGAGAGCTGGATCTGATTTCACCCTCTGAGCCACATAGTTTGTTTTTGTTAGTCGAAACTTCATTTGTTGTGCGTGTTTCTGGTGATCTTGGTCCCCGTATCCTATTGAAATATGCAGTCACAAGTTTTAGCACTTCCTCGATTATATCAATAAAGCAATTCAGTATTAGTTGAGTTCTAAAAATGTCCAATGCTTAAGGCGGCCATGTTAAGACTCTACAATCCATTGATATTTAGTAGTTGTCCTGTCAATGTTAGCCTGTAGATCAGAGTGTTGGCTCTGAACAGGCGTACGATATGAGGGCATCTGATATTTAGATGCCTCTAACATTGGCAGGACATCTCTATAACCACGATCAACGACTACATTGTCCTCTTGCTCCAACCATGTGAGCTTGTCTATGATGTTTTTGTGATGCTTGCATCATTTTGGTTTCCAGAGAATGGTCCTACTGTGTCCAAAATGTAGCCATCAGGTAGATTTATGCTCATGAATTTAAGATAATTTTGCTTCTTCTGGCCACAGTAAGACATTTTCTGCAGCTTATGGTCAGCACTCTTTTTTAATATATATATATATGTATCATCTAGTATGGCAGTCACTTTGTCGCCAAAGAATGTTTCTGATAATACAATATTGTGTGGAAGTATCTGTTCCCTACCCAAATGATCTGGACCAAGAAACATTGGAACTATAAATTATTTCAATGCTTATACTACAGAATGAAAGGTTTTTGAAATACTAACTAGGGAAATGCAAAAAAAAAAGCATTGATTCCAAGAGATATCAGTTTTCATCTTAACCCAAAACAGCAAAAGAGCATTGCGTAGTTTTGGTATATACTAAAAGAGAAAGAAATGGTTTTTGAGAAACTGTTCTTTGGACCAACCTGTCCATGCTTTGCAGCCAGGGTCATCCAAGAGAGAAAAATGAGAGCGAAGGCCGATTGGTTATTTGATAAGATATACGACACTTCTAAAACGTCATCAAATATTTCAGATGACCTACTTAATAATTAAGAAACCAAAGGCTCTCTTCCTTGTAGGATAACCTGTGCACATGGGTTCAGGTCATTGCCTATAATATGAAATGATCATAAACGTGATGACGCAGAACACCACAATTTGTGTGTGAAAATTAAATGATGCCAGGCACGTTTAGGCAGAAGTGTGGATTTGTTTCCCTTGAACTTAAAATTGTTCAAACATGTTTTATGTAAACAGGACCCATAACACAGGTCCTTGATTGTTAATAGAGGAAAACTGCTAGTAGTTTCATCTTCCAACGTTCAGTTTTAGTCTGTCTTTTGCGCAGATACCTTATGTAGCACTTCGGACAAATACTTATATCTTCGTTCGAGCAATCTATGCTACTTTTAGTCAGTTTATCCAAAAGCCATTTACACTGTTTATTTACGAGATGTCTTGAAGACACGATGGCAACCTTCACCAATACATTTACTCTTCATTAAGAGATGAACATTAACAAAATAGTATGAAATATCCCTTAAAAGCAACGTAATAAGAAAACTCTGATGATAAAATGTATACAAAATGATAACAAAATGTATAAGAACACATTCTAAAAAGTGACAAGGATATTACATTTGATGTCAAAATTGATTGTGAACAGAAACGGACTGAATTTCTTCATACTATGCAAATGTTTTGTATACAAAAAAAATAAGAATGAAAAATCCTGTATTTGACATTAAAATTTTCACAAAATGTTCTATTATCCACACATTCTGGATGATAAACATATTATTACTTCAGCATCACATGAAAATAATTGTTCTCTCCAAAGTATTATGATGAAAATAATATGATTTTTTTCTTCAGAAAAACACATTCAGGCTGATATTCCATTTTTCGACCCCCATGCTGTATAATCATCTAAATTATAAGTAGACTGATTCTAAGTAATAACTCTGGATGTATAAAATGGATTGAAAAAAAAATACAGCAGCATAAATCTCGTAGCACTTCTGAAACGAAAGTTATTAGGGGGCAGGCTCCTGTGTAAGTTTAACATATCTGGAAATAGTTCATTTCTTCTACCGTTCTATCCTATTGACCATGAGAGAAGTCAGTGCGATTCCTTTGCAAGAATCTAATACAATAAACAAATATTATGACGGTTGACAATTAATGGACACAATGTTGCACAAGTCCACAAATCTAGAATGCATTTTGCCAGATGAGCTCACAACATATAAAAGGGTCGTCAGGTGCACAGTGATAAGAACACTAACTTTCCAACCAAGACAGTAGGGGGTTTGTTTCCTCGATAGGCCCTTAAATATGCATGAAGTCACCAGCCGGATTACTTGGATGTTCTACCGTTACGGCTCACACATTAAAACACTTTGCACCTTCAAACCGGTCGAACAAGAGTGATAGCTACATAATATCTTGTTTTAAATACTGAAGTTTTACTAATCATCATTTATAACTATTATCACATAGGTATTCCATTAACACGTGCATTTGACTCATGACGACTTGCCAGGAAGGATGAATATCGACATTTTCCGTCCCCACAGCCATGTCCCAAAAGTTGAGGAACAAAACCTTATCATGAAGGCCTTTAAACTCGTCAAACCAAATCTTTTTGTGTTCCTGCCATATTGAATCCACCGGTGTAATCCAGTCGTAGTATGTCATCGCGTGGGGTCCCTTGACAACGACATCTACATCCGGGGATCTCATTAGCAAATTCTCCACTGAATTTCTGATCTTTCGGACGTGAATTCGAAACACATCGTAAGGAATTCTCATAAAATGTCCCCATAGATGAATCACAATAACGCTGTTATTCCCGGCGCCTATTTCGTCCAAGTGTTTCGAAATTGGTTGTAGTTTATACTTAGGAATAAAGAAATTTGCAAAGAACGGAGATTCGTGAGGATACCATGACACTGAGTTGTTATACTGATTTTCAGCAAACGTAAATTCGTGCCAACTTCCAACTGGCATAGGTCTAGTACGATAACGCATTTGCAGCATGTCGGTAACCATCATTACGAACGACCTGGTGTTAGAATCACCCATAATCATGAGGTGACGCCCTAGGAGACATTTGTGGTAGTTCCTCACCGTCTGTGTCAAATCGCTGTGACATGTTGTGATTTTCCACTTGTTTTGATAGAAGAACCCGGATGGAGTCGGTTCCTTCCAAGCGTTTTCTCTCGGACGACGTGAACAAAGAGTAGTATTCTTTTTCATAATGCTACCTCGATCTTCGAGTAAAGAGAAAAAGTTGACATTAAAGCTAATTCTTAAACAACAATAATCATGGTTAATGTATTTTGAAAAAGGAAATAACCCACGCCATCCTGTTTATTAACGTTGATCCGAGAAACAAAACTAACATGAGAACCTTTTCGTAGGTTGATATTACAAAGGGTGTTTATCTATATAGATCTGATAAATCAGAATATGACTATTACATTAAATAACCTTTGTACTAACTGAAATGTTATAGACAGACCCACATGTGATAGCACTCGTGAATTTTGGTATAGGATACAGCACGCCAAAAATAAATTACAATGCGTCATACAGCTGTTTTGGCCTTCTATGTCTTATCAGTGATGCTAGGAACCGAAAAATCTGGAAATACAATCTACTGTAAAAAACCCAGGAGGGGGACATGCGTAAAACCTATTTATAAACATATTCTTGTTCTTGCAGGCTTAAACTATACAGGGGGTCATACCTACATAGATTTGTGGACCAGAATATGATTGCTTAAAAATTAAGATATTGTGTTAATTTTAAGAAGATAAGCATCGTCATTGATTCTTCAAGATTTCCGGTACGGGAATCAATGTACATTTTTTGCAGACAGGTACATGTACATAATCGTGTCTTGGAAGAAATACCTACCTCCTTTGACGGTGATCTGTATGCCTTCTCCAATCAACTGATGCTGGGTATATCTATTAAAGATAATATAAAGGTTCAATTTACTGAATAAAATATTTGTTGTGAAGAAACATTTCATGGATGCTATGATACTTTCACCCTCGTTACTCCAGGGGTTACGCTCCCTTTCGCTCTCTGCACCCCAGGAATATGTCATGACAAAATCGAAGGCTCAGTGTGCGTCACCAGTTGGATGAGACAAGAAGGGACGGTTGACCCTTGATGTACATAAAAATAGTCTCCAGATCGCGTATCGGTAAAATTGATTGACTTTGAATTTGGGTGTCACTCCTCTGTAATCTTCAAAGGACAGGTATCAGCCTAACATTTTGTTGTTTTTTACATGAGACCAATCAAGCACATGTAGCTAGCCACGTGCTTTCAATTTTCCTATGACTTCCCATTTTGCACAGAGCGTAAGTGAGCGTAATCTCTGGAGTATCGAGGATGTGAAACTTTATAAAAGTAGCATTTGCAAACCCTATTACATATCCTGCTTGCAATATGAAATATAATTTCTTGATAACCTCCGAAACCTACTTAAACATTTTGGAATTTTTCGAAAGCCGAAATACTAGCTCTTCATGCTTCTGTATCACTATCCTATCGAATAATAATCAGGACAAGTATCTTCCTCGTTTGTAAATGATTCCTAAATTTCAAATGAATCTACTTAAACAACGTTTGATTGTTTAAGTGCTGCTAGTTACTCAACAGAGCTATTATCAAAATTGTTTATTTCCGTTCCTAGTACCATTAAATCAGGATTAGTCGTATTGTGCCACAATGCGCTTCAGAAGTGGAATTAATAAAATGCTGATCACGAAAAACTCGAAAGATCTTTTCATTTATATTGAGTATCCTTTCCTTAAAATGTTTCTTCCATCACCAGATTAGACTGTTCCACAATTCACACTCCAAACCTCATACTAAACAGAAGGAACGCATTCGTTCTCCTATTATTAAAGCTTTCTTTTCCAAGAAATGGCGATTCGACTGTATGGTTATAGACTATGTGAAGACTTGCGTGAACATTAGTCCATTCCGTCTCTGCGTATTGCAGAGTTATCTTCTCTTGTGAGCAGGTTTTGATTGTTACGTCATTGGTTTGTGAGAGTTACGTAATCAATTTTTGAGAAAACGATGTAATTTTTTCACTCAAACCAATGACGTAACAATCAATACCTGCTCACAAGAGAAGATAACTCTGCAATACGCAAAGACGGAATAGGCCAAGATAAAATATACCACTGATATAATTGTGACTTTAGTTTACGTTTTATACTGTTTAAAGTCCTATAGATAGCTAAGATCATATAAGGGCATGCCTCCATATGTGTACTGTATGTGTGAGTGCGTGCTGGAGGCACGGTATGCTGAAGTATTTGTCTTCTTCCGATAATTCGGATCTGATGCCGACTTTAGAGTGCTACCTCTTTGAAATACCATACCGAAGGCATCTACTACAGCATTCCGCTCAATAACATTCTGACTAAGAATGAACTAGTTGCTGCAATTAACCTTAATGCTGAACGTTAAGCATGTAAAAACAACTACCATTTTAATGGACTTTGGTATGCCGCTGCCTGGGGACAGAACCAATGGCCATCCTCACCTAGGCGAACATTTAACATTAAGGCCAACAAATGAGTTATTTATAAGAAAGGCACTAGGAAACAAAAGATAATTAAAAGTAAAGAGAAGTATAAAGATCAATGGCCGCTAAATATCGATATGGGTCACTTTGGTATCCCGAAGTAGAGGACACAAAAGCATATCCCCCAATTCTGCAGGGGGTTCACTCATCAGTCGCCTCTTACAATAGGTAGTAGGTAACAACATGTGAATTATTTTCTCAATCCCCGTCCTGCAAGGGTGCCCCTCAATTTCGCTCTCATATCGAAAATGCGCTGTCTTTAGATAAAATGTATTGACCACGTCGGTCATCTGTACCTCTAAGAACATTCCAGACTTTTCTGCATCAGCCGCTTTCCTCGATTTTTACTTACATTCTGTCCAACATTGATGGCTTATGATTGAGCTGAACGATAAGCGTGACGATATCGAAATTTCGATCTTGAAACTTTCCTTTCTTAAATGTACATCCCTGCTTCCTCAAGCATGCTCTGAATATCCTGATTTCTGTGATAAATGTCCACTGCTGACAGACAAACAAATTGTTTCGAAATATCTTGTATGGAACTTTCATAGTTGTAAATTTGACCTCAGTGGGAAATATTCTGTTTCGTTGCGTGGTTTGAAAGTCTTTTTTATTATTTTCATTATTGTGCCTTATTGTTTCTCTGTCTCTCTTTGAGGACGTGGGTAACTCGAATTACTTGGATTTTACCCAAATTGACATGACCAGTGTCGTTGACAAAGCAAAATCAAAACTAGTAGATGCGCTATTGCCGGACCAAAGAAGATGCAACGCATTTCATCTCCAGCTGTGTTGTTATCGTACCCAAAACGGGACAGTACCCAAAACGGGACAGTACCCAAAACGCAACACGTGTAAGACACGGCCCGTAAAACTGTCGTGCAGTGCAAAACATATATATTAAGTATGGAATTTCCACTTGATGTGAATCTAACCGTATGCAAGCTTTATTTGCTGTTGGTTATTGTTACACAGACAGTTTAAAGGTTATACGAATTACGAAAATATACCAACTTGTAATAATAGAGAAAAGTGGATGGTATCCATTTATGAATCATCATCATTTTCGGAATTGATATTAGGATATCAAATATATTCCAATGTAATACCTACATCCTCATTTTTCTCAGTAGAAACATTTCTGCCTATGAAATGTTTATATTAAGTTCGATACATTATTTAACAACCTCAAGCATTATGGCTGAAAATCTTATCTATTGTTTTGTCTTTTCGAGATTATTTTTAATACTATTAACATTTAGTGATATCTCTTTATTTTCTATATTTAGTTTATTTATTTTCTATTTTGATTTTATGATTATTTCTTTTTTCTATTATCTTTTATCAAGTTTTTCATGTTTTGAAATCCTTAAAAACTAACTGCAGAAAATATGGTACATGTCTATGGAAAAAGAGTTCGCCTCCAACCACTATGCTCTGGACTCTTTGATTTGACCACTTACCTTATTCTGTTGGCAACCCGATCCGGAACGGTGATATTATTTGTACCCCTAATGGCTGTCCAGTCGTCACACGAAAGTTTTTCAGAAGAAGGTCTCGCACTAAACCACCTATATCCGTAATTCTGACGGGTTAAATTGCACATCCTTTTCTCGTCCAAAGAAAATACGGGCAACGGTCCACAGGGGACGCTCTCTTTGGCTGTCTTTTCATTGTTCTCAAAAAGAGCAAACATTTTGTTGAGGACGCCATATTTGTTGATAGCCTTCGTAACAGATTGAACGGCTTCACGGGTGTGACTCAGAGCAACGTAAATGGTCGGCTGACCTGCCCAGGGAAGAAGGACCTCGCCCGAGAACGTCCCGTTTCCGTTGTCAATGATAACACCGTTCACGTTAGAGTAAGTCGATGCCTCTTTCATCCATATTCTCAGAACGTCCCCGCCACGGGGGATATTCCGCCCGAGCTGGTCCTTCAGGTGAATAGTTACACGAAACCTATCTCCTACCTGATAGGATTTCTTTAAAGGATTCTTTAACCGAACAATCGACCATCTGAAGCTAGCCGAGGTGTTGTTGTCAACAACTTTCTTCTTAGATTTAATTATCTGAATGGCATCCGACAGTAACTTCTTTCGTTCCTTTCGTGTTCTGTTTATCTCTAATTGTTTAATGAACTCTTCCAATACTTTAATCGTACCTTCCTTCCAAAAATATTGTGAATTTGATTCTAATTTGAGTTCAGCATTTTCTTCTAATGAGAAACGGTTCTGGGATATGTTCCGGGAAACGTCGTTTATTTGATCGGGACGTAAAAATGATGACGAAAACGTTTTGACCGTTTTGGAGAAATTGCGATGACTAGCCGACATGCGAGTTGTGATCTTTCTATTTTCTTTCTGTCTTGCATCCAGTAACGAATTCGGTGTCTCCTGTGGCTTTTGTATAACAAACATGCTGCTCCGATACAAAACCATATTCCTGCAAAACAAGGAAATATTACTGGAATAGCATAGACAGTTAGCTTCCATATTATATTATCCTATTGAAGCACACACACACACACACACACAGGAGATAACCCCATTAAAACTTGATTTGGTAATAGATATAGTATGCCAACATGAATTACACTGCATCTTACAGCTGTTTCTTTTTTTCTTCGACCCATCGGTGATGTTATGGGCAAAATGGGCAGCTACGTTAATATTTAAATAATGGAGTATTGGTGTTTAATAGTTGTTTACAATTATAGTCAGGCAATAGGTTTGTAAACAACATAATAAGTTTTCAAAAGAATATGCAATTCCTTATTAATGTTAATATTCTCCATAACACTGAATAACAAAGAGACTTGTTGTCTCTGAATCTTTTACCATTATTTACTACCTGGTCGGCTGGGAGTGACCCTATTTACTACCTGGTCGGCTGGGAGTGACCCCTATTTACTACCTGGTCGACTGGGAGTGACCCCTATTTACTACCTTGTCGGCTTGGAGTGACCCTATTTACTACCTGGTCGGCTTGGAGTGACCCTATTTACTACCTGGTCGGCTGGGAGTGACCCCTATTTAATAACTGGTCGGCTGGGAGTGACCCCTATTTACTACCTGGTCGGCTGGGAGTGAATCCATCCCGTCCCCTTTTGACGTGAAGAGACTTTCTTGTTGTTTCTTTTCACGCCGTACTTACACGACCAAACTACAGATTTTTTCACTGGAGTTTTTTCAATGGATATTTTTTCTATCAAATCACTTGAATCAACGTCTTCAAGATGATGTTTTTACAATTCGGTTTTAAGTTAACCGAGGGGACATACGACAATAGTAGCATATTTAACAAATGATTACTGATATTTTGTTTATTCCTTTCATCTTATAGTATGTTTCATAATGACTGTTAAGCTTTGTTATATGACATTATTTGTTGTGATATGTAGGTGTTCATGTTTCGATCTTTTAAAAAGGTGCAGATTACCCAGAAAATGTTGACAAACTCCTTTGTCGGTGCTGTCGTTATTTGAACCTACTTTCTGTCAATCGTTACATTGATCACTTAGGCAATGAATATTGTTCAGACGATTAAATAGTAACAGTGAACATTGTACAGACGATTAAATAGTAACATTGAACATTGATTAGACGATTAATTAGTAACAGTGACCAATGTACAGACGATTAAATAGTAACAGTGATCTTTGTACAGACGAATAGGTAGTAACAGTGAACATTTTACAGACGATTAATTAGTAACACTGTACAGACGATTAAATAGTAACACTGTACAGACGATTAAATAGTAACAGTGAACATGGTACAGACGATTAATTAGTAATACTGTACAGACGATTAAAAAGTAACAGTGAACATTGGACAGACGATTAAATAGTTACAACGAACATTGTATAGACGAATAAATAGTAACAGTGAACATTGTACAGACAATTTAATAGCAACAGTGAACAATACACAGACGATTAAATAGTAACAGCGAGCGAACATTGTACAGACGATTAAATAGTAACAGTAAACATGGTACAGACGATTAATTAGTAATACTGTACAGACGATTAAAAAGTAACAGTGAACATTGTACAGACAATTTAATAGCAACAGTGAACAATACACAGACTATTAAATAGTAACAGCGAGCGAACATTGTACAGACGATTAAATAGTAACACTGTACAGACGATTAAATAGTAACAGTAAACATGGTACAGACAATTAATTAGTAACACTGTACAGACGATTAAATAGTAACAGTGAACATTGTACAGACGATTAAATAGTTACAATGAACATTGTATAGACGAAGAAATAGTAACAGTGAACATTGTACAGACGATTAAATAGTAACAGTGAACAATACACAGACGATTAAATAGTAACAGCGAGCGAACATTGTACAGACGAAGAAATAGTAACAGTGAACAATGTACAGACGATTAAATAGTAACAGTGAATATTGTACATGCAATTAAATAATAACATTGAACATTGTACAGACGATTAAATAGTAACAGTGAACATTGTATAGACGAATAAATAGTAAAGATATGGTATCATTTCGCTGTTATCATTATATAATATGAAGCGTATATACGGAAAAGTCAATTTATCGTCAATGTTACATAAACGCTGACCAACAATATATATGGCAATACCCCTAATCACAAGGCTGGTCATATGACTCGAAATGTTCATGGAGTGTGTCCAGCTCTGTCTTAATCCGACTTTTCCTACTATCGCTACTACTATTTCAATGTGTTAAGTAAATATTTGCTTTTCGTATTTAAAGGACACTTTCCTGTATACCTACTTAGACTGAATAACACGTTCCCTTCCTAAACCTAGTATGCCCTGGGTATTCTTAACTTGAAATTTAAAAAAAAAACACTCTTATATAAGACAAATGTTGCTCGCTCATCTTTAAAAATGAACGGGAATAAATGATTGAAATGAATACACAGCTCTAGTTGTTAAACTTATTTTTCAATGTTTTGAAATATCTTCCCTGACAAATGGGGGGAGTACTGTCAAATTTAAACTGTCGGATAGGAATGTACTTACGACGAAATGAACAGTATAGCTACGATTCCCAGGATTATCCGGTACGGGGTGAGAACAAAGGTCCATTTCTTTTTTCTTAGACAAACTTCCATGACCTTTTGGTAAAAAAAAGGGATTAATTTATGTACTGTTACTTTTGAACGATATATAGTTTCCATAATTTTCCAACAGAAAAATAATATACACTCTGTTAGTTTGAGCTCACGTCTTTTATTTTATTATACTCTGACTATTATACACTCTTGCTCTGTACAAAAATGAAGGTTAAAGGGCTATAGAGGGCTTAGTAGAATTATCTAAATTATTTCGAGAGACAAAGATAAAAAAATATATATATATCACTGAAAGGAGGTAATATATGGAATTCTATAACTGTTACAGTTTTTGAAATAATGTTGTTCGTTATTCCCATCTACGGATGATACTAATGAAGTAAGACAAGTTAGGTGGCATTTTATTTTTAATTTTGTTTATAAGTTGTGACTTTCAGTTATTTATTTTCACTTTATTGCACTGCTTCACAGAGTAATTTGATTTCGTTTACGAGGCAAAGTTAACATATCTCAAATAGTTTTTGGTTTTTGATAGCTATGATATATAACCGATTTAACACACTCAACTCACTTAAGGCACTTTTTGATTATTATAATATGAGAGAGAGAGAGAGAGAGAGAGAGAGAGAGAGAGAGAGAGAGAGAGAGAGAGAGAGAGTTTGGGGTAGGGAGAGGGTAGAGAGAGAGAGTGGTGAGGTAATCCCCTGATTTGTGTGATCGCTACACTCGGGATCTGGTGGTTTTTTTTAGCTTTGAGGTCAAGTCTTAGCGGCAATAATAGCAATGTGAATCCTGTAGATAATCACAATACATAGGGTGCGATACAATAGCGACGTAGTAAATACACCCTGGTAGTCGAACCTACTGTTGTCAACATCAACAATTATCGCACTAATGACATTTTAACTATGACCTAGAACTTCAAGCATTATTAAAACAAAGAGAGAGTGAGAAAAAAAGATATATCAAGAAGAATTTTGTGTCTGTGGAGTGATGAATACCCACAAACTTCTTTTGGGCTTATCCTCTAACAAACCATCTGCTTCACATCGATTTTTTGCATTTCGAAAACCATCTGAATATTTAGTCAATCAATCAATCAAACAAAAAAATCTACTAACGCGTCAAACTAATAAAACATCAATACAAAATGTGTTCAGACATGAATTGCTTACTAAACACGATTAAAAGTCTATATGGGTCTGCAATGTCATTGTGCATTTGTAAAAATATCACTGCATGATTTAAAACTCAGTAAAGTTTTCTTTAGGATAAGCAGTACATTTAGAGAACATTATGATAAGAACATTTCTCTCTTTTTTCACAAAAGATATAATAGATTTGATAATAAAAATTGAATAGATGGCTCAGACATTACATGCCTAAATCGATCTGATAGTTTAGGGGCGGGGGAGCGAAAGAAACCCATATGAGTATGCGCTAATCATCTCTAACACACTGAAATAAAACCGTCTGTTTTGAACTCAGACTAACAACTACTCACCATTGTCGAACATTCATCCGTGTGACCAGGCCGGGATAACTACGACAAGTGACCGTAGGCGTTCTGTACAAGTGGACACACCACTTTCCTAGTACACCTTCACAGTAGTATCTCCATGTAAAGGTCATTGAGTAACAAGGGATCAATTATACCCGAGCGAAGCGAAGGTGTCATAAGTCCCGAGTGACGAGAAATCATGCAATAACTGGCTTACTGCATGCTTCCCAACTCGAACAAAACAGAAAAATTGAGTAAAAAATGTTCACCTGGACAATCATTTTACCTACTCTACAATGCAGATAATGTACTTACTGCATACTTCCCACCTCTCACAATGGAAAAGTGTGGGCAATAAATCACTTGCTACCACAGTCCACTGCACACATAATCCCCTTTCAAGGCCAATCATGATTACATGACCATGAAAGGGGGTGTGCCCAGTGGACTGTGGCCACAAATGCTGTAAGAAAGGGGAGATAATCAATCAGTGAGTAACGATGAAGTCAATACAGTAGAAAGGATAAACTTAGTTGACACATTTAAAATAAGGGGGAAAAAATGAAAGTTAAAAATGGTAATTTCATGATTGAAAAACACAAAAAGATTTCCTTATCACGTGAGAGGATAAGCATTTCCCGGAAAAGTTTATAATCTTAAGGAGCTGTTCCTTTATACAAAATTGCACATTCAAATATACCATTCATTGAAAGAACTGGAATTCCTTAGGGATTGATAAACCCTTACATTGTATATATGAAAATGGTTTCAATATCCTGTACCTTTGCCACATCTTGAAAATTAAACTGAAAATGTAGTCAGAAATTCAACATTGTTTCCCGTATTTTGAACAGACACTCCTTACCTTCCCTGACACTGGACCTGGATAGTAATCCAAAAACACTTGTATCCATTATGAAGGATACACTCAGACTGGGCTATTGACAATCTTACCTGGTTATGATTAGTACTCACTCACACAGGTACATGTAGATTATCTGCAGTGTAGCTAGGGTAGGTAAAAAGATTGTCCAGGTGAACATTTTTTACTCAACTTTTCTGTTTTGTTCGAGTTGGGAAGCATGCAGTAAGCCAGTTATTGCATGATTTCTCGTCACTCGGGACTTATTACACCCTCGCTTCGCTCGGGTGTAATAAATCCCTTGTAACTCGAAAACCATGCAATAACCTTTACATGTACCTGTGTGAGTTAGTACTAATTATAACCAGGTAAGATTCTCAATAGCCAAGTATTGAGTGTATCCTTCATAATGGATACAAGTGTTTTTGATAACTATCCAGCTCCAGTGTCAGGGAAGGTAAGGAGTGTCTGTTCAACAATTAGAACAAAATACGGGAAACAATGTTGAATTTCAGACTACATTTTCAGTTTAATTTTCAAGATGTGGTAAAGGTACAGGATATTGAAACCATTTTCATACATACAATGTAAGGGTTTATCAATCCCTAATGAATTCAAGTTCTTTCAATGAATGGTATATTTGAATGTACAATTTTGTATAAAGAAATAGCTCCTTAAGATTATAAACTTTTCCAGGAAATGCTTACCTCTCACGTGATAAGGAAATCAAAAACGCTGCCAACTCAGTAATTTTTATTGTTTGTTTCAATCATGAAATTACCATTTTTAACTAAAAAAAATATATTTTAAATGTGTCAACAAAGTTTATTCTTTCCACTGTACACTCGTAACTTACTTATTGATTATCTCCCCTTTCTTACAGCATTTGTGACCACAGTCCACTCGGCCCACCCCTTTTCATGGTCATGTAATCATGATTGGCCATGAAAGGGGATTATGTGTGCAGTGGAAAGCAAGTTATTGCCCACACTTTTCCATTGTGAAAGGTGGGAATTATGCAGTAAGATTTTGTTTAGGTACGATTATATTTTCCAAATATTGAAATACTTTCCACAGGATTTGATAAATAAAATGGACACGTGATGACGATAGACACACTTGTATAAGTAAATGTCATTTGAAATAATAGTAATGAGTCCGATACTAACGGAGTGTTAACTATCGGAGGGTACGTTTTGTTCACAAGCCTCGTTGTCGTCCATGTACTGGTCAGTCGTCCCTGCACTGGTCACTGGTTTTACATTTGTAGGGCGATGAACCATGCGAGGGTANATTTTTAAATATACGTTTAATTATATTTCAAGTCACAATATGTTAAGTGTACATCAGTCAGGATTTCAACCCAAAGACTCCACTACTAATCAACTAGCTGATATCTATAATACTATAAGTGGCAATTTAGACCAAGGTAAAGATTTGCGTTTTGTTTTCTGTGACATAAGTAAAGCATTTGATCGAGTATGGCATTTGGGCCTATTATATAAACTAAAAACATATGGTATTAAAGGTAAATTATATAATTGGTTTAAAGCTTACTTATCTGACAGAAAACAAAGGGTTATCTTTGAAGGTTATAAATCTAGTACCAAACCTATGTCTGCAGGGGTTCCTCAAGGATCTGTCCTTGGTCCCTTCCTCTTTCTTCTTTTTATTAATGATATTACTAATAATGTAACTTCTCATATAAAACTCTTTGCAGATGATACCTCTCTCTATGTAATAGTAAATAATAACAATGACCTTACAACACCTACTAACATGCTTAATGATGATCTTGACTCAATCTCTGAATGGTCAAAGCGATGGCAGATCCTATTCAATCCGAATAAGACTGTAGCTATTAACTTCTCTCGTAGACACATTAACAATCATCCTCAACTGCTATTTAACAATACTCCAATTGCACAACATGAACACCATACTCACTTAGGACTAACATTTAACAGTAAAGGGACATGGTCAGATCACATTTCAAATATTTATAAGAAAGCGAACTCTAGACTAAGTATTCTTAGAATTTTAAAAACTACAGTTGATAGGAATACATTAAAAACATTATATGTCTCTTATATAAGACCTGTGCTAGAATATTCTGATATAGTATGGGATAATTGTACCAAATCGGAATCAGATCTTTTAGAATCAGTTCAACTAGAAGCTATGCGTTTAATTACTGGCCTCAGACGAGGTACATCTCATCATATTCTGTATACTGAAACACAACTTGAAACATTACACACACGAAGACAAAATCATAAACTAACATTAATGTATAAGATTCTTAATAATTACACTCCAACTTATCTCGATAATATCATTCAACCATTTCTAAATGTAAATAATAACTATACCTTCAGAAATAACAGATTCTTTAATATACCACAGACAAGAACTACTACTTATATGAATAGCTTCTTCCCTTCTACAATGGTAAAATGGAATGCACTTGATAGCACTGTACGAGACTCCATCTCAATTTCATCTTTTAAAAAGAAACTTAAAAAAACCTTTGATACATCCGTCTCAGAAACTTTTATTAACTGTGTTCCGAGGAAACTTAACATAATTTTATGTCAGCTAAGAAATTTTAAAAGTGATCTTAACTGTGATAAGTTACAAGACCATCTGATTGATGATGCTTCCTGTGTATGTGGTGTACAGAGGGAAGATCTAATACATTTTTTCTTTCAATGTCCTCTGTATTCTAATATTAGGCATCATATTACCACTATTTATAATCTAGTAGGATATTTAAATCTGCACTGTTTAGTATATGGTATTAGTAATGCATCCAACCAATTAAATAAAACTATTCTTATACATGTTGACTCTTATATTAAATCATCAAAACGTTTCGTTACTTATACGTGCTAGATAAATTTCCAAATGAATATTCATGTATTGTTATAATTATTGTTATTCAGGCAAGTTTTATCCCTTAAATAACGAGTATTAGACATAAGCTGGTGTGGGTGTGGGTGTGCATGAGTGTGAGAGGAAACGAATCACAACATTTTATATATTTAAGCATTGTACATATCTACCGGAATTAGAAGAAGACTGATATAGGCAAAGCCTGTTGTCTTATTCTTTTGTCAATACTGTTCAAATATCTCCTTTAATGTTAACTTATATGTTTGTATTATATATGTATTGTCAATAAAATACTTTGAAATTGACACATCTATTCGCTGAACCATAATTGTGTTTTATTACCAATAATATATAAAGTAATATAACATATATTGAACTGTGATGACATATGATGATCATTCGAAATCGTATGGTCTGAGAAAGCCTATTTGGCTATTATCCTATCACTAATTATTGACTAATTAGTATGTTAAAATACTAGCTGAATATTGGTGGTAGCGCATAACAGTGATATGTGAGGGCGTGCGTGTGTGAGGAAGGGTGCGTTCGATAGTGTGCTAGGATGTGTGCGTGCGTTTGTGAGGTGTGTGTGCTGAAGTGTGTGAGTGAGTACGTGCGTGTGTGAGGAAGGGCGCGTTCGTGTGTGTGAGAATGTTTGCGTGCGTTTTTGAAATGTGTGTGCTGAAGTGTGTGGGTGTGAGTGCGTGCGTGCGTGCGTGTGTGAGGAAGTGTTCGTGCTCGTGTGTGTGATGATGTGTGCGTGCGTAAGTCTGATGATTGGTGTGTGTGCTCGTGCGTGTATGTGCAAGGAAGAATGTGCGCGTGTGTGAGTGTGTGTGTGTGTGTGTGTGTGTGTTAGTGCGTGTGTTAGTGCGTGTGTGAGGATGTGCGTGTGTGAGTGAGTGANTGTGTGCGTGCGTGCGTGCGTGCGTGCATGTAGGAGGGAGAGAATGTGTGTGAATGTTCACCTGAGATTTATATTCACTGAACTGAGGAAATTGTTTTCCTCAGTGTCTACTGTTATTGTAAATGTGTATTTACATTATATGTTTATGTACAATGTATATCCATATCGGGGGAAATAAAGATTGATGATGATGATGATGATGGCGTATGTACTAACATAGGTATGTGTGCCTTGAACTCCTCGAGTGTTGTACATTGTACTGCTGCTATGGGAAGGAGATTCCATTGTGATATCAAAAATAATAATAATAATTGGAGGTTCTTATATACCGCTTTATCACAACCTAGTTCGTAGGTCTATATACCGCTTTATCACAACCTAATTCGTAGGTCGTCAAAGCGGTTCACAAATTATTATCCGTGGTTATAGGGCCTTTGCAACTAGCCAGTGCATTTCTCAACTCCCTGGGGAGCATACAGCCGTAGCTGCCATTTCGGCGCTTACAACTAGCATTCAACAATCCTAGCACTGCCCAACCACGTACTCATTTACAGCTGAGTAGACTGGAACAAGCGGAGTAAAGTATCTTGCTTAAGGATACAACACATTGCCGTGCCGTGGCGCGAACCCGCAACCCTTCGGTCACGAGCCCGGCGTCCTACCACTGGACTACCGTGCCTCCTTATTATTGTGTGTGGGAAGTAGCAGATTTGTATGCGTAATAGTGTTCGTGTCTGGTTTGAGGGTCTATGGGTATATGTATAGATGATGGGTTTATTGCCATACGAGTTGGTATATTATTTTGTAAAAACAAACGTCCCTATACTGGTCAGTCGTCCCTAGACTAGTCAGTCGTTCATTTACTGCTCAGTCGTCTCAGTCAGTTATCCCTTCAACGGTCAGTCGTCTCTATACTGGTCAGTCGTTCCTATACTAGCCAGTCGTCCCTATACTGGTCAGTCGTCTCTATATTGATCAGTCGTCCCTATACTGGTCGGTCGTCCCTGTACTTGACAGTCGTCCCTATACTGGTCAGTCGACCCTATACGGTCAGTCGACCCTATACTGCTCAGTCGTCACTACACTGGTCAGTTGTCCCTATTCTAGTCAGACGTCCCTATACTGGTCAGACATCCCTGTATTAGTCAGCCGTGCCTACACTAGTCAGTCGACCCTATACTTGTCAGCTGTCCCTTCACTGTTAAGTCGTCCCTATACTGGTCAGTCGTCCCTAGACTAGTCAGTCGTCCCTAGACTAGTCAGTCGTCCCGTAGCTTGTCAGCTGTCCCTTCACTGGTAAGTCGTCCCTGTACTGGTCAGTCGTCCCTAGACTAGTCAGTCGTCCCGTAGCTTGTCAGCTGTCCCTTCACTGGTAAGTCGTCCCTATACTGGTCAGTCGTCCCTAGACTAGTCAGTCGTCCCTAGACTGGTTAGTCGTCCCTAGACTAGTCAGTCGTCCCTAGACTGGTTAGTCGTCCCTAGACTGGTCGGTCGTCCCTAGACTGGTCAGTCGTCCCTAGACTGGTCGGTCGTCCCTATACTGCTCAGTCGTCCCTGTACTGGTCGGTCGTCCCTGTACTGGTCGGTTGTCTCTGTACTGGTCAGTCGTTCCTATACTGGTCAGCTGTCCCTAGACTGGTCGGTCGTCTCTATACTAGTCAGTCGTCCCTATACTGGTCATTCGTCCCTATACTGGTCAATCGTTCCTGTACTGGTCGGTCGTCCCTATACTGGTCAGTGGTCCCTATACTGGTCATTCGTCCCTATACTGGTCAATCGTTCCTGTACTGGTCGGTCGTCCCTAGACTAGTCAGTCGTCCCTTGACTGGTTAGTCGTCCCTAGACTAGTCAGTCGTCCCTTGACTGGTTAGTCGTCCCTAGACTAGTCAGTCGTCCCGTAATTTGTCAGCTGTCCCTAGACTGGTCGGTCGTCCCTATACTGGTCAGTCGTCCCTACACTAGTCAGTCGTCCCTATACTAGACAGTCGTCCCTATACTGATCAATCGTCCCTGTACTGGTCGGTCGTCCCTGTACTGGTCGGTTGTCTCTGTACTGGTCAGTCGTTCCTATACTGGTCAGCTGTCCCTAGACTGGTCGGTCGTCCCTAGACTAGTCAGTCGTCCCGTAACTTGTCAGCTGTCCCTAGACTGGTTAGTCGTCCCTAGACTGGGCGGTCGTCCCTGTACTGGTCGGTTGTCTCTGTACTGGTCAGTCGTTCCTGTACTGGTCAGCTGTCCCTAGACTGGTCGGTCGTCCCTGTACTGGTCGGTTGTCTCTGTACTGGTCAGTCGTTCCTGTACTGGTCGGTCGTCCCTAGACTAGTCAGCTGTCCCTACACTGGTCAGTCGTCCATTTTCTGATTAGTCGTCCCTATACTGGTCGGTCGTCTCTATGCTGGTCAGTCGTCCCTATACTGGTCGGTCGTCTCTATACTAGTCAGTCGTCCCTATACTGGTCAGTCGTCCCTATACTGATCAATCGTCCCTGTACTCGGCGGTCGTCCCTGTACTAGTCAGTCATCCCTGTACTGGTCAATCGTCAGTTTTCTGATCAGTCGTCCCTATACTAGTCAGTCGTCCCTACACTTTTCAGTCGTCCCTATACTGATCAATCGTCCCTGTACTGATCGGCCGTCCCTGTACTGGTCAGTCGTCCCTGTACTGGTCAGTCGTCCCTATACCGGTCAGTCGTCCTTGTACTGATCGGTCGTCCCTATACTGGTCAGTCGTCCCTATACTGGTCATTCGTCCCTATACCGGTCAGTCGTTCCTGTACTGGTCGGTCGTCCCTATACTGGGCGGTCGTCCCTGTACTCGGCGGTCGTCCCTGTACTGGTCAGTCGTCCCTATACTGGTCAGTCGTCCCTGTACTGGTCAGTCGTCCCTATACTGGTCAATCGTCCCTATACTGGTCAATCGTCCCTATACTGGTCAGTCGTCCCTGTACTTGTCGGTTGTCCCTGTACTGGTTAGTCGTGGTCGTCCCTATACTGGTCTGATCATTCAATTTAAATACCTGTCGATATAAATGTTAACAATACACATAATTCTTCTGGTGAATATTTAGTGGACTGGAACGAGTGAATCTCTGCTTTTCTAAACCTGTGTCAAATCACGTGATTACCTTCTCTCAATGTATACAAATAGTATCTAGTATATGGTGTATGGCATCGAATGGCCGTCTTTACTCAGTTAGGTGTGAAGACTTCGGGAAGTTTTAGCCGTGGGTGTTTTTCACTGGCCTGTCGTTCTGGTCTGAGCACACAGTGTGGGTATTTCTGTCCTACATTTACTGGGACTGGACACCATGGGAAAGGACAAGCACGCATGGCCGGTTTTGAGTATCGACAGGACTTTAAAGAAATTCCGAACCTTGATTCTGCTGGGATTAATAAGTACCTGTGCTCTAATTGTCTTATGGTAAGTTGTTATCCAATTGCTCTAACCGACTGAGCTACATGGTCAACAGAATTGATCTGGCTCAACTGTACCACTGCCAAAAACTGAAACGACGTGTTTGAAACTGGTGGATTTTTGCAGGCATGAATGTAGCTTTGATAAATATTTTTTTGAAAAAAAATCCATACTTGCAGAAAATGAGAAATCATAAAGATGAAATAGACAGAATATACTCAAAGACAGTGTTTTGAGTGTAAAACAAAACGGTCGTCATTCCAACCCCAGAACTTCAGATTAACCGATTGCGCTACTTGGTTAACACAAGTGGTTGTTCCGCTGTGCTACCATCCTCGATGTCCTGGGATTACGCCGACGTGTAGAGAGCGAAGGTGTGCGTAACCCCTGGCTATCGGGGTTTATAGCCAAACAGAAGTTAAATTACTTGCAGTGAGACAGCATCCTTAGCATTAAAAACCTGGTTGTACCTTAGCAGTATAACCTGGTTGTACCTTGGCAGAATAACCTGGTTGTACCTTAGCAGTATAAACTGGTTGTACCTTGACAGTATAACCCGGTTGTACCTTAGCAGTATAACCTGCTTGTACCATGGCAGTATAACCTGGTTGTACCTTGGCAGTATAACCTGGTTGTACCTAGGCAGTATAACCTGGTTGTATTGGTTTGTCCTGCAAAAGTTCAAAATGGGTTTGGCAATTTAGCGATGTGACATATAAAGGAATCTTAAAAAAAATATTACTAGCAATATGAAGCAAGGAACCACCTATTTAAGATATCCTTATATTGTATAGAATTATCAGAAACATGCATTGATCTACTCCCTAGCACCAACTCGATACCTCTTTATCAACCCCAGGGGCCGGGTGCCATAGACTAGACATTGTTAATATTTTAGTACAAAATCAAACTTTTCTGTGAATACCATGAAGTGTGATTAAAGCATCACTTCAGCAATGAATTCGGAAGTAAAACGGATATGGGCACGTGTCGGGCGAATAACGCGCGTATCGGGCTGACATGGGTCGGTCCAGTGTATAAATGTTATTTAAAAAAAAAAATTAAAAAAATGTACCTTTGGCGAGCCCCAAACACTGGGTTAAATAGTATAGCAAAGGGACAGTGGGATCACACACTTGTCATGGGCATCCATGCGCTCATAAGCAGATGCCTGTTAAAGTATATTTAGATCCCTTGTGGGGTTCCGATTAATTTTGATAAACAGGACCACTTTCGTTTATCGCAATCTAAACGGTTGAACCGGTTGGACCAGAGTTGTTTGTTTAGGAAATAAGGTTGCACTAAGTAACCTGGTGCTGCTTTCAGGCAAGCCTTGACACAGCCTTGCAAGGCCTGCATAAACATTGGATAATGGATATATTAACATACTAAATGAAATAAAATGAAGTATGATCCATTCTTAAATAAAACATGCATTTCTATTTCAAAATACGTTACCACAGTCATTATAATGCATATTCCAACCTTACTTGGCTCTTTATATACGTAAATAAAGAATCCCCCCCCCCCCATGGGGAACACCCGGAAAACCCACCAATCAGACGGCAGTATTCACACACGTGATCAGACACGAAGCCATGCTTCCCACTTCATAATTCCTTCAGCCTTCCGTGTTTACGGACGTGTTTTGGTCTCTTACCACGGGGTTCCAACTGCTACTGGCGTTGTTTGTACCGATATATTGTATCCTTTATACGATACGTGTTGCTTTATTTTGCGCCGTTTTGCGACCAGGCTCCGGCCACGTGTTAGCGTTTGACGGTTTGTTTACTTTGAGATGGAGACTCCTCCTTCTCAAAGGCGCTGTCCTGGGTGTCATTTATTCGAGGCTTCCGACCCCCACCCACCTCTCTGGAGCAGCCCTGTGACAGTTGCCGTGCCTGGCAGCCGATTCCTGCTGGTAGTTCTCCCCGCCCGCGAGGGCGTGCAGGTTAGTCGGGTAGGAGGGGTAGGGGTGGGGCGAGGGCTAAGGCTAGACCTAAACCCTCGGAGAACACCAGCGGAATTTCGACCTCTATTGAGTCTTCCCTGGGGTTCGTTTCGGCGGGTTCGGCTTCGGCCCGCAAAGCAATTCGTGGGTGAGGGTTTCATTCCTTTGGGAATGACAAACAGGCCAGCCATGTTGTGTCCGCGGACGCTACTGTTGGTAGCCTCCTGCCGGTCCGCTCCACTCCTGATGGTGTTGTTGTCGGAGACCGGCCCCCGGCAGTTTTGTCTGCTCCCGGGGTTCCCTGCATCCCTGATGGAGCCCCTGGCGTGGTGATAGCGTCTAGCACGCCGTTCACCACTGTGCAGCATTTGCTTACCGGTGGTAAGTGATGCCTCGGCCTCGCTAGCCTCGACTGGATTTTACGGTGGTGTGAGCACTGGTGTAAAAACCTATGCTCCCAGCTCTATCCATTGTGCCTCCTCCCCGGGTTTTCCTATGGTAGGTGCCAGCGCGGCTGCGTTTGGTTTTGCCGGTGCACGCTGCTCCCCTGGTGGGACATGTTTTACTGGCCCTAAAGGTTTTTGCCCTGATGTAGGTCGGTCTGGGTGGAGTTGGTCAGGTCAGCCAGGTGTGGCCTATTGCGGCGGGTGTGTAGGTGGCCCTAGGCTCCCTACCCCGCC